TCTGAGTTACAAACTCGATCGAGCTGCTCCACTGTCAATGTCAGTCTGAGCGTTGGAGTGTCACTGGCAAATATTTATATATGTATATATCCATATCTGCATATACTTACACTTAACAATTAATTGATTGATATTGTAGCTGCCGTGAGGGTCATTGAATATCCATTAGCCAAATCAAACGCTGACTTGCCACCTGATTGACCCATAAATATGACCGAAAAGTACGACAGCAACGGCGACTATTCCGCATATAATGAGGACGATAGCAATGAGTACGTTGGCGGAGGTGGTGGTGGAAAGCCACGCAAGAGCATAGGCAGCAGCGGCGGCGCCCACAATGGCGACAGCAACGTCCACGATCATCGCGATCGCGATCATGGCGGCCCCGAGGGTAGCGGCAATGTGCAGCTGAACGAAAAGGCCAGCGAGTACATACGCGATTGCATGGCCGAGAAGAATCGCATGGATCGCAAGTTTCCCATTGCCGAGAAGCTTTTGGAAGGCGGTAAGCGTGCTTCTTAAATTTAATTTATGTGGCAGATAGTGAAATTTGGTGTTTTGCAGAGATTGAAAAGGTGCAGACAACTGGACGCATTCCGTCGCGGGAACAGAAGTATGCAGACATATATCGAGAGAAGCCACTGCGCATATCGCAGCGGGTGTTGGTGCCCATACGCGAGCATCCGAAGGTGACTCATTGCTAGATATCTATTGTAGCCAGTTCTATGTAATCTAACTATATATAAGATGATCTGTTGCTTGAGATTTCAATTCCGTTGGCTAGGTGGTTCATTTAGATAATATATATTTTAAATGGGTGGAAAGCTACAATGGTCACTAAATATATTATAGTAATTGAATTAATCTATAAGATTATTCAAATATCAGTTAAATATTTTATATATCCATCTATTATATACAAATGTTAATACTCCAATCTTTTTTCTTGCAGTTCAACTTTGTGGGCAAGCTGCTTGGCCCCAAGGGTAACTCATTGCGTCGCCTGCAGGAGGAAACGCTGTGCAAAATGACGGTGCTTGGTCGCAACTCGATGAGGGATCGTGCCAAGGAAGAGGAGCTACGCWGCTCAAAGGATCCCAAGTATGCTCACCTCAACAGCGACCTGCACGTGGAGATATCAACGATTGCGCCACCCGCAGAGGCATATGCGCGCATCGCGTATGCCATGGCCGAGCTGCGCAAATATCTGATACCGGATAGCAACGATATTATACGGCAGGAGCAACTGCGTGAGCTGATGGATAGCACTAGCCTAAATGATAACGACTCCAATTCCAAGAGTAACTACAAGAAAATGACGCATATGCAGAACGCCGGCATTGGCGCTAATGCCATGGGGGGTCAGRGTCTGGTAAATTCAAGTGGTGGCGGTGGTGGTGGCTCCAGTATGTCGAAAAATTCGGCTCATCACAACTACAGGTAAATTTTATAGATCCATTGGAGATTAGTTGTTGGCCTAACTCGATTTTCTTTCAATAAGCAGGAGCTCGCAGCAAGCGTCGTTTAGCAAAAATGTCTTGGCGCCCAAACAGAAGGTCATGTCCATCCTAGAGAAGGCCAGAACAGCAATGGATGAAACTTACGGGTGAGCTTGAAATGAAAAATTTTAGYTACCAATTGCCTATAACTGTGATTTGAATGGGTATTTCGTAGACGGGGCTATGACGACGGCATTTCGTATGATCCTCATCAATCCTACGACGCCTACAGCTATGCATCGCACGGTGGACACGCCCATGGGCCTCACGGACCGCCCAACAACATATTGGGCGGCGTTGGCAATATCAGCGGCGTCAGTGGAGGAACTCGTGGCGGTCACTATGAAACTCAAGATTATGAAACGGATTACTCACGAAGGGATTACTACCAGCATTCACCTGGATACGCAGGTACACGTGAAGCGGTTTTATATAGGCAATATTAGATAGAAGCTGTTGTATGTTCGAAAGTTATAACTCAACCTTTCATCAGTGAAGAGCAGTTATTATAGTTCTTTTAAGTAAACTCTTTGAATAGTGTAATAGAATATTATTTGTCTAGTCTAGTTGAATAACATGAGTTTTATGTGCAGTTTGAGCAATTGAACAATATAGGTTATAGGTGGCTTGTATCCAAACTAGGTATTCCATCCGCATTAGACCTTAGATCTCAGTCTTACTGAACAAATAGTTTTTAACTATTTGGGTTATCCATAGTGATCCCATTATACATACTATAATTGTAATGTAATAATTATGTATACTTTGCAGCTAGCGGCTCAGTAGCGTCATCAAATCCAAACAATGCAACAGGTATAAATTCGAACCACAACCGCAGTCATGTTAACAGGTGAAATTTGTTGGGTTCGAGAAACGCGAGCAATGGAGATGGTGTGAGAAGCATAAGGAGTGTGACAAGTCCTATACCGAAAACCCACTATATGACCCGATTCATTAACAACAGTAGCAACAGGAACCACAATAACAACAAACGCAACAGCAGCTTTGTGCAAGTGGAGTGCAGCAACAACCAAAAGGAACCCAACAACAAAAAGAGCAACAGCAATGGCAGCCACAAGGTAACAGCAAGAGACGAGGCATATTGCAATAACTTTGAATTGATGTATTCTGATAATAATAATGAGTATTTTATAATACAGAAGCAGAAGCAGCAACAACAGACACAACAACATACTCCACAACAATTGTTGACAGTGCAACATGAACAACAGCAACAACATTCACAACAAAATTACCCACCGCACAACAGTTACAACCAAAACAACAACAACAACAACAATCATTTAAATAGGAATAATAAAATCAATTCCATCGATGTGAAAATTAAATCASATTCTATATCTACGAATGTGATGTATGGCCAAATGAGTGCTGCAGTTGTCGGCAAACGCACCATCCACAGCAACAGCCAGAACAACAACAACAACAGCCACAACATTCACACATTAGGCAGCAAAAACAAGAACAACATGCAACATACCCAAAACAACACAACAACTTTAACTGCGTCCAGTATGCTATTAGTAAGGTATTAAACAAAACAAAATAAAACAAAAAGCAGTTCAGAGCACAATTAATCAAATGGATATTACAACCATCCCTTGTTCAGTCCAGTACAGTAWTCCTTCATTATTCCTTGCACAGCCAAAGCGCATGTCACAGCAACTATTTGAGATGTAAATACGTAGACAGAGTTCATAATAATGCCTGCTTGTTGCAATATACATATCCAATACATATGAATGATCATATATACTTAATTATATATCAATATTTATTATCATGATAAACTATTTGTTTGCATTCACAAATAGGCGCTGCTGACTTAATACACAATCCACGAACACAATTGACATTTCTCTAAATACTCTTAATACTTGCATTCTCTTACAGCCCTTCCAWTCCTTCGCTTCATATTCGTGAGATTCCGTTCTTGCCAGTGCAGTTTCTCTAAACCACATTGAAAACTAAACAGATACAATAACAAAATACAGTTAAACAATAACAACAACAAACAAGCAACCACAACAAATCGAGAGCAACATCACAAATACTTTGTACACTAAATGGAAAGAATATTTACAAACGAAACCTCTAATATATATACATACTTATATATACATACGTGTATATACTAGATACAAACATATACAATATATACATTAAAATAATAATATAATATATATGTAATATATATATTTTTTTGAGTGCAAGGAAACTGTTGGATGATAATACAGCTGGATCAACAAATTGATATTTTAACCTTGTGTTGGCTGATGGACGATGAACGACAGACAATTTATGCCAAGGATATATTGTCCGGTTTTTTAATCTATATTTACACGAAGAGCAAAACATCTTTAAGATATTCGTAATAAAAGTGCGTGCATAAATAACAAATTATCAAGAGATATAACCGTTAAACAATTAGAAAGGTACAGCTTAAAGCTGGATATGATACTTTAACTTATATATATAATAAAAAATACTAATATACATATATTTATTATAAATATTATAAATCGGCTTAAACAATAAACTGTAAACATTTCTCGAATACGTGCGTACATATATATTTCTGTGTATTATGCTCGATCTTCAGAATAGAAAACACATTTTCTAACAACTAAACTAAACTAAAACTACAAAAATTTAATTATAAAATATCAAATCAATTCGAATACTTATATAAATCTATGATTTTTACAACTTTCAATAATCACACAGATTATTTTGCTTGTTAACATTTCTACGCTGAAGATCGGACATATATATATTTAA